CATTGGTGGGAGAGGAATTTTAATTATATTAATTACTATGGTAGAAATAAAGGAAGTAATGAAAGAATTTTCTCATAAGAAGTACCAACTCCAGATGTTTTCACAAGAGTAGTAGATCAAATTTTGGCAGGTGCCAGGGTACATGCCTATAATCCCAAAGATTTGGGAGGCTGAGGCAGGAGAATTCCAAGTTCAAAGCCAGCGTAAGCAATTTAGAAAGGCCCTGTCTGAAAATAAAAAAATTTAAAAATATGAAGGGCTGGGGATATAGCACAGTGATTAAGCACTCCAGGGTTAAATCCCCAGTACCAAATAAATAAATGAGTAAATAAATAAATAAAGAGTGGTATATCAAATCTTTAAAGATAAAATCATCTTAATGCTCATGAAACTGTTACAGATCACAGAAGAAATAAATATGGAGTAAAAAATATAGAGTAGAAGCATTAATCTCAACACCTACCAATGATTTCTACCAATGATGAAACTAAAGAACAATGTCAGTTAAAATTGTAAATTTAAAAAATCATAAAATAAATAATACATCATCACTAAGTGAAATTTATTTCAAGAATATAATGGAGTACAATATTAGGAAATCTATTAATATAAATTGTTAATAGTGCTAAGGAGAAAAGTCATAGAATCATTTCTACAGAATCAGAAGTCATTTGACATCATTTACTATTCAGTCATGTTAACAATACTCAATTAAAAAAGGAAAAGAAGTAGTTTATTTTTTATTTAATAGGAAAATTTAGAGGTTTTTAGTAAGACTGTCTTAAAGTAAAAAATAAAAATAAAAGAGCTGGGAACGTAGCTCAAAAGTAGAATGTCTGCCTACTATTTGCAAGGGTCCCTGGGTTCAATCCCCTGTATGAAAAAAAAAAAATGTAAAGTTAAAAGGGTAGGTGAAAAGCTTGGTAACACAACTTATAAAAATCAGATATCCTTAATGTATGAAACATTCTGAAGAAAAAGACTAGACCAATTGCATAGAAAAATGAATGAAAATATGGACAGAAATGTAACCAAAAAAGTTACACAAGTGTCTTATTAAAGGTATAAGAAGTTGCTCAGATTTACTCATAATTAGAGGAATGCAATTACAAGCATATCTACAATTGTCAACTTGTCATCTATCAGACTGGCAACAATCCAAAGGGATAACAGCACACTCAAGTAGGCTGTCACACAGAAACAAGAACTTGCTTACATTTCAGATGAAGGTCAAATGATACAGTCCATCCCATAGAATATTGGCAAAAATACCAAAAAAAAGAAATATGCATGCATAAGATAATTGAATGTTGTTCTGTTTGTGATAATAAAAATTGCAAACAGATATTCCTACATAATGAATTGGTAAAATGAGCCTCAGTAAGTTCATACCATAGATTCTTTTATGCAGATTTAAAAAAGAATAAGGAACCTCTCTCTGCAGTGGTGTGGAATGATCTCTAGGATATGTTAAGAGAAAAAAAGCAAAGCAAAGAAAGTGTTTATGGCATGCTATCATTCACCTAATAAATTTGGAGTGGTACAAATATAAACACATTTTTGCTTCCATTTTAAAAATGAATTATATACCAAAAAATGTAAAAAAAAAAGGAAAGGAAAAAATATGACTTGTGAGGGAAGGAATAGTATGTAGAGAGCAGAAATAAAAACCAGAATTTTGTAACTATATCTTTTCAGTACAGAAGTCTTTCATGTCTTCAAAACACAATGATTTAATTATACATTCTTTGTGAGAATATTCTGTACTCTAAGGACATGAAGTTGTGAAAAAAGTTTTTGGTTTTTTACTGTTGTTGTTTGATGAGCATATTGGAAGTGTCATTGTTATTGGTATTGTTATTCCAAAGCACATGCATATATATGGGATAAAACAAAAGAAAAATTGTGTATATGTACCTTAGGTAAAGCAAAATAAAAATTCTTCATTCCTGAACTTGAATCTGAGTTCATAATGGCTTTATCTTAAGAAGAATAAAAATATTTCCTTCCTGTTTTGTTTAAAAAGGCCTCAAAACAAGGACTACTCAATAGCAATAAGAACCCCTGAGCACCTAGGTTCTACTTTCAGATACTATTTCTCACCAAAAGGAAAATGCCTAGAAAACTGGAAACATTTTGGAGATTGGCAAATTCCAGACCTGAGCAGAAAATATCTGAATTGGGCCTGGATAGTGTTGTGTAGCACGAAGTGAAGAAATCATATAAGAGTGACTATGGATGTCAAGGGATAAGATAAGATCACTTTGGGGTCAATAAGAATAATTACAATGAGTTGAAACACTTAAAATAGATTTAAATCTATCAGTTTATTATGATGCTGAAAAAGGCTGAAAAAGAAAAATAAGACCAAACGTGAAACAACCTTTGCTGGTCACCTTTTGAAGACACTAGAGATCTAACTTATTATTTTGAAAATGATAGAGAACAAATAAAGAAATCAACATTTGTCTTAATCATCCTATACAAGCTGTATTTCAGGGACATCAAGCACTGATGAAGGGAAGTCTCTTTATAGAGGTATTCCAGCTAATCAAGGAAGGCAGAAAGCAGGATATCATTGTTTTGCATCGTCCAGTGAAATAGTGGACCTAGGTTATGATCGCCAATAGCTGTTCATTGCCCCTGAAGTATCCTGGACAAATGAGTCCGATTTTGATCAAGACTTTGGATCTAATGCCAAATCTCTAGCGAATCACAATGGGAAAGAAGATCATGTTACATGATTCCATGGAGATGCAAAGAGCTCATTCTAGACCAAGGAAAATGCTGTATGACACATTGAGGTAGGAGCTTAGGAACATCTAGACGGCAGAGGCAGGATACAAGAAAAGTGCGGTTGGAGTACAAGATGCAGAGATGAGTCTTCCTGTCCCTGTTTACAGGACTCTCATTACCATGAAGACTGCTGCTGAGGGGTTATTCCCCGTGGCAACTCTCACCACAGGCTCTACGTTTAAGTTAGGTGAAAATAAAGTAACCAATGGGAACAAATGGAGCAAAGTCTTCAATCAGGTCTGTAGGGAGAGGAGAAGGTGGCACAGCTCTGCATATAAGACCAGACTAGTTCCAGACGTCAGGGCCTTGACCCATTCTCTCTAGCTAGGCCCACTCCACTCTACTCTATGGGGTGTTACTTTTACTTTTCATAAATCTATGTGCTGCTCTTAGAGAACACACAGATGAGGATGGTGGGAACCCAAGGTTAAGAAAATAATTCTATAAAATGGGTCTACTGTGCTGACCCCCCACATGCTTTCTTTTTTCCAAGAAACTGATAGATTTAAATATATTTTAAGCATTTTAATTCATTGTAATTATTCTTATAGATTTAAATATATTTTAAGCATTTTAATTCATTGTAATTATTCTTATTGACCCCCAAAGTGATCTTATTCTATCTCTTGACATCCATCATCACCCTTATATGATTTCTTCACTTTCTGCTACACAAGATGATTTACCTGAAGCCCTCCCTGGCTGAGCTGGGAAGGCTATGTCACTTTCTTCAGCAAACTCCCAGTTACCTGCAGGAGACATGCAGGCCCAAGATAGCGTCAGTGAGAGGAACCTAGGTTACCTGAAGTGGGGAGACTTTTGAAGCTCTGGGAGGTAAGGCTCCTCCTAACCATAAAATCTGTAAGAATATGGGGTTAAGAATCCAATTAAGATTGGTCAGCATGGGCCAAGGTGACCTGGACTTGTCATGGCAGTGGGGACTTGAGAGTCCTATATCATCTTGCTGTCAGTCAAAAGCCAAGAGGTGGACGTGGGTGAGACTCTCTGGAAACCTCTCTAGGATCCCCCATAAATCTCGAGGGCAGAGAAGACATGCTGTCCTCTTCTCTGAGGGGAACCCT